CCGCGCCGCTTCCCCAGCCCCCGTACCCCTTTCCCTCTTTCCCCGGCTCCCTCCCTTCCCCCCTTTCCTTCCTTCCCTCTTCCCCCTCTCCCTCCTCCCATCTTCCCCCTTTCCCCTCTTCCCTGCCCCCGCCCGCGCCCACCCTTTCCCCCCTTTCCCCCTCTCCCCCCCTTCCTGCCACGCCACCTCTCCCCCTCCCCCTCTGCCTTCGCGCTCTCCCTCCCTCCCTCCCTCCCTCCCTCCTCGCCTCCCTCCCTCCCGCCTCCCTCCCTGCCTCCTCGCCTCCCTCCCCTCCCTCCCTCCCCCACACGCGTTCGCGCTCCTCCCCGCCCTCCCTCCCTCCCTCCCCTCCCTCCCCTCCCTCCCTCCACGCCTCTCCCCAGGCCGTGGGGCCTCCCCTGCCCGGCGGCGGCGCCGTGCCGCCCGGCAGGCACTTCCGTGGGGGGCGGGGGAGGGGCCAGCTGGGGCAGGACCGCGCAAGGAAACGGCTGGAGTGGAAGGATCGCCAAGAGGATGAGGAGGGGGGAGATTTAGGTCGGGCCTGTCCCCCTACAGGGGGATTTTCGACGAAAAATAAGAAGTCCCCCCAAAATAGTCAATAAATAGTCCAAAACTAGTCTGGGGACTATTTTTTTGAGTATTTTTTGACCTTTTTGGGGTATTTCTGGTTTTTTTTATGTTTCGTCGACAACCCCCCTGTAGGGGGACGCGCCCGACAGAAGGGGAGATGGGCGGACGGGAAGGCGAGACTGGTCGGGCCTGCATGCCCGTGAGATGCCAGCCACTTACGACGACAGGCGGGGAGCCAACCGTTCGGGCACTCGCGCAGTCAAGGGAAGCATCCTGCATACAGTCGGGGCCCTGAAGAAGGAACCCTTTTCGTTGGGGAGGGGCTCCGCGTTCCTTAAGTGTTTCACAGCTTGCCTCAGGTTTTCCCTAGGTTTTCGATCGGAAATCGAGGTTTAACTTATGGAAAAAAGGGGCCTCGTTCCTTATTTAGGGTTCCTGAGGTCAACGCTCCGACTGTACACGTCCAGACATCTTTGTTTCGGTTTGCCACCCAGCACTTACCAATCCCGATCTCATGACAACATCGTTTACGCATGAGGTTTTCGCCAGCACGTTTGACACTTCCAGCGCCAGAGGACTCATGTTGCGCATTGACGCGTCCCTTAATGGGCTCTTGCGCTGGTTTTTTGTCTTTGGTAGTCGCAGAGGACAGTTGCATTTCGAGCCTGCCCACTCGCCCTACGCGCGTCCTAATTTTCCCGCCTTCTCCCGCCGCCCCCCCCGCGACGGTGCGAGAGAGAGGCCGCGCGGCCAGTGAAGCCATGAGAGCAGTGGCAAAGAGGGCCCCCCAGCCCAAATGACCCAGGGGGCGGACGTTACGGAGCTACGTGCAATGAGGAGGATGATCGGAGGAGGAGGAGGGCGGAAAGGAGGAGGAGGAGGAGAAGCATTCCAAGGGATAGATCGGAGGAGGGGGAGGGGTTTTGCTGCCCGAGCCCCTCTTCTCCCTCCCTCCCGCCTCCCCGCATTCCCCCCCTCATGTGGCCCCTTCCCCTCTTCGTGTCCTCCTTTTCTGGGTTGTGGGCGCCTCCGTCAAGGACGAGGATGAGGATGAGGACGAGGACGACGATGATCGTGCTGCTGATGAGGATCGATGATGATGCTGATGGCTATGGTGATGAGGCAGATGGTGACGATGCTGGTGATGATGATGCTGATGGTGATGCTGCTGCTGATTGCGATGACGATGACGACGATGATGATGCTGCTGATGACGAGGACGAGGATGAGGACGACGATGATGAGGATCATGGTGATGATGATGCTGATGCTGCTGACGACGACGATGATGATGACGATACTGATGATGATGAGGATACTGCTGCTGCTGCTGCTGATGATCATGACGCTGATGATGACGATGATAATGATTGTGCTGTTGATGATGCTGACGATGTGGATGATGGTGAGGATGCGGATGCTGATGCTGATGCTGAGTATGCTGACGATGCAATGATGACAATAACGATGCCGATAACGCTTATCATGATTCTGCTGGCGATTCTCTGTTCATGACGTTGATGTGACCAGGACGAGGGTGATGACGATGTTATTCATGATGACAACTAGTATGATGGTGACTCTGAACATTATGATGTTGACGATGCCGATGATGATGATGATGGTGATGATGATGATGGTGATGATGATGCTGATGCTGATGATGATGATGGCGATGATGATGATGTTGATGCGGATAATGGTTATCATGGCGATGCTGATGCTCACGACGATGATGCTGATGATCATGCTGAAGATGCTGATGATGCTGATGCTGATGCTGAGGAGGATGAGGATGGTGATGAAGATGATGGTGCTGATGATGCTGCTGATGATGATGATGATGGTGCTGGTGATGATGATGGCGATGGTGATGGTGAGGTTGACGATGATGATGCTGCTGCTGCTGATGCTGATGATGATGCTGGTG